TAAACGTGCTGAGTGAAGGTGTGGAGGACAATGCCCCCTGACAGAACCCAGCCCAGCGAGGACGTGGCGAGGCTCCTGATAAAGGAACCAGCGGGTCAGAGCGCTGCTGCCTTGCTTCCCTGCACAGCCCTGGGACAGCTGAGCGGGAAACGAGGAGGAGGAAAAGGAATATGAGACTAACCTGGGTGCAGTGAGGGAGACAAGATCGAGGTTTGCAGGAGCTGCTGCCCCCAGAGCCGGGGATGATGCCCCGGGGTCCCTGCACCCCGTGGGGAGCTGCGGCCCAGGGCCATCCCTGCTCCAAACGTCCCAGTGCTCAGCAGACAGCTTGACAAATTTGGTTTAACTGTTTTGATGTAATAATGTAATTAGGTAAAAGGGTTCAGCAACCAATTGCATTTCACTAATTTCAACCATCTGCTTCAGCACTTGTTCTGTGTGTGCCAGACTTCAGTGTCTTTGCTCTAATAGTAATTAATGAAACTGTTAATAAGCTACATATATCACATCATGCTGCAATAATTTATCAAAGGATAATATTATGAGACAAATTCTGTGTAACAATTATAGAAAATGGCTTACATTACTAATGCTGCACACTACTCACTAGTTTCTTTACTCTTCCCTTCTTAATGAATTCCCTAATTAATTTAATGCATACGTTATGCATAATTTGAAATTTAAAAACATCGCTGGGTCAGGTTTTAACCATCCTCTTTTACATGCTGCCTGCTTCTACAAGACACATATTAGCAAAACATGACCTCTATGCAAATCAGGGTGCCCGCCGCTGTTCCAGTGCCGGTGACGGCAGCGGCGCTCCGGCACGCTCCTGTGCCGCGGCACGGAGCGCCAGCAGAGTCACCAGAGGCACCACCACCACAAACCCCAACAGCAGCAGCTATTCCAGCCTCTGGTTATGTAACCAGCCTTGTTCTGGGGAGAGCTGCCCTCAATTACACACCGTGCAAACAGCCATCCAACAGCAGGGCTGTCACCCTAACGAGGTCACCTTAAAAATCCAGAAACCTTCCAAAATAGAAATGTCAACTGCAGTCTCTTCATCTTCAGATTTTTAAGCATTCAGCATACAACTGCACAGCATTTCCCAGCTTTCTGCCTCTACAGCTTTGGGGTTTTCCTGCAGAACATGACTGCAAACTCTTCTTCCGAAGTTTCCATTTTCATTCCCGTCTGACTTCCAGAACAGCACCACACACCCCAGTGGGACAGCGTACTCCAGCTTCAGTGTTTCCTTCAGTGGGACAGTGGAAAGTGTCCCTGCCCATGGCAGGGTGTGGAACTGGATGAGCTTTTATGTCCTTTCCAACCCAAACCATTCTGAGATTCTTGTGCTCCGTGGAAGAAATACAATTTACCAAGCTAGCCAGGCTTTGGCAAGAGATCATTCCCTCACTAATTCTTTTTGGACAATATATTATTTACACTGCTAAAATATTATCTGGAGACCCAGAGTGAGTTATATTAACATTTCCTTATCTTCTGGGACACTTCTGGCTGAAAAAGTGTTGAGTTTTCATCTTTGAGCAAGCTTGCTTCCGCGCTTTTCCATCTGACGCGTCAGATTATTTTAATGATGGAGTACTTGATTAAATTAATTCCTCCCTACAAAAGCAGCTGTCTTGTGTCATGGAATCTGTTCAGCTATCTGGAACATTGGTACTTGCCAGGGAGGAGAGCCAAAGCGCAGAGTGTGGGGAGGGAGTGCCTGACCACACCGAGACGGCGGCGACTCTGTCACAGCACGTGAGGCCAAGCTCAGCGGGGAGACTCGGGTCTCTCCCTGCCCCAGCAGGGCTGGATCTTGTGCCCAGGGATTCGGGAAGAGGCTGCTGGCCTGCCCCACTGGCAGAGGAAAACTTCCAACAGCTCCAGGGGTCCCAGCACACGCCGCCGTGTCCCCGTGTGGGTGCTGAGCCCCGCGGTGCCCGGGGCTGAGCCCCAAAACACGGCCCCGGGGTGTGCTGGCACGGCCCAGCAGTGGGATCAGCCGTGCCCCAGGGAGGGTCAGCACCAGCAAGGGGAAAACCCAAATGAAAATGCAAAAATTGTGCCAGCATGGTGAATGAAGCACAGACCGTGTGTGTCAAACTTTTATTTCTAAACAAACGGGATTGTTTCATTTAAGTTCATCTCTTGCTTACTCTCACGCTGCTGCTCATTTTTTTTCCCTTTAGAGAGTTCTTGCAATCTTATCCTTCCCTCCCGCTTACTGAGAGTCCTCAGGCACCATCCACACATGCAAATCCTCCGAAATCAGAACTGCCTGCCACGTCTGAAGGAGTTTGCTTGGCAAAGAAAAGCCTTGGAAAAACAACAGAATGGCCATTTCCTTTGTTTTCCATCACACAACGTAACCATAGGCTGGGTTTTGATATTGCTAATTTTTTGAAGTATGAATATTAATGTAATTTTTTCCACTTATTTCTTTTCAATATTCATATGCACCACAGTGGGTTGGAGCCCTTTATTTAACAAAATCTCCTGCTTTGGGATTTGGAAACAGTGCATTGCTATTAAATTTATTAATACCAGAGGACTTTAGGAGAGTTTAAGCTAAGTTTAGTAAAGCTGCAAAATACCAGCTCAGACTTTTCTTCTCTCACTTGGGTGCCTGTCTCCCGAGTTCTCGGAAGTGCTGCCCACACCCGCCCCGATCCCACAGCTCCGTGCCCCGGCCGTGCCCGGTGTCCCGGCGGTGCCCGTGTCCCCAGGGCACTGCCGGCGCTCCCTGGCCGCAGCCGCTGCCCTGCCCTGGGCACTGGGGTCCCGGCAGGTCAGCGGCCAGTGCCTGCAGGTGACAGTCCTCGCTGCTGGACGCGGTGGGGTGCCAGAGACCCTCCGAGGTGTGGGGCTGCCCGCTCGGTGCTGTCGCCTCACGGGGCTCAGCCGTGGCTGTCCCGGCACTGCCAGCTCGCCCCGGCACGGAGCTGCCCCCGCCCAAAGCATCCCAAACATCCCGGCCCCGCACAGGCTGTCCCGCAGGAACAGCTTCCCTGGTGGCTCACCGCCTGTCCCGGCACCCAGCAGCAGCCAAGCCCCGGGAACACCGCGGGACTGACACCTGGGGGAGCCCATGGCTGCAGCCACACACACCGGGCTCGCTGGGGCTGCCTGGCGTGCTCTCAGCGGGCTCTGCACAGCCCACCTGAGCTGCCAGGCTGGAGCACCTGGGGCCGGCAGACAGCCCCTGCCCGCAGCTGCCGGCACTACCGGGACAGCCAGGACAGCCAGCAGAGGTGGCACAGCCAGCACAGCCAGGGAAAGTGTCCCTGCCCATGGAGCCCTTTTATGTCCTAGAGCTGCCAGGACAGCCAGGACAGCCAGGACAGCCAGCAGAGGTGGTACTGCCGGGACAGCCAGGACAGCCAGCAGAGCTGCCAGGACAGCCAGGACAGCCAGCAGAGCTGGCAATGCCAGCACAGCCGGCACTGCCAGCACAGCCAGCACTGCCGGGACAGCCAGCAGATCTGGTGACACTGCCGGGACAGCCAGGACAGCCAGCACTGCCAGGACAGCCAGCACTGCCGGGACAGCCAGCAGAGCTGCCAGGACAGCCAGGACAGCCACAACAGCCTGGAAAGCCACCACAGCAAGTGCAGCCTGGCCTGCCAGGACAGCCAGCACAAATGTCACAGCTGGCACAGCCAGGACAGGTGGCACAGTCTGCACATCCAGAACAGCGAGCACAGCCAGCCCTGCCAGCAAAGCCTGCCACGTCCCTGCCTGCCGGAGCAGGAGCCCGAACAGGAGCAGGAGGGTGGTTCCCCGCCGGTTCCTTCCTTGTCGTTCTCCGGCTCAGCCCACCGGAGGCTGCCGTGTCCGCCAGCGTGGCTCCCGTGCCCTGTAATTGAGCGGGATGTGAACACACCCACGTCCTCAGCAGCGCCTCAACCACCGACCGCCGCGCCAGCTGCCACGTGGAGCAGGGACACGCACGGCCCCCCGAGCCACGGCCCCTCCGCCCCCGGCGGGGACCCCCGAGGCACAAACCCGGGCAGAGACCCCCCAGCCCCATCAGTGATCCCGGGATGTGCCCCCAGCCCCATCAGTGATCCCGGGATGTGCACCCAGCCCCATTAGTGATCCCGGGATGTGCCCCCAGCCCCATTAGTGATCCCAGAATGTGCCCCTAGCCCCATCAGTGATCCCGGGGTGTGCCCCCAGCCCCATCAGTGATCCCCGGGATGTCCCCCCCTAGTCACACCACCCGTCCCCCGTGCTGTCTCTCTCCCCCGAGGCACAGCCCCGCTCCCCCCGGGATGTCCGGCCGGGGCCGGGCGGGTCCCGGCTCGGGTTCCAGCGCGGGCGGGTCCCGGCGCGGGGCGGGGCGGGAGCACCTCGTCCCGGCCCCATCCCCATTCCCATCCCCGGCCCCATCCCCGGCCCCGGCCCCATCCCCGGCCCGCCTCCCGCTCCGCTGGCCCGGGGCTCCGGCGCCCGCCCGGGATGAGCGGGCTGCGGCGGCTGTTCCGCGGCAGCGGGCGGGCCCTGGCCTTCGTGTTCGCCGCCTCGGTGGCCTGGGTGCTGCTCGACATGGCCGCGCTCCGCCTCTCGCTCGGCGAGGCGGGCGGGCGGCTGCTGCGGGAGGCGGCGGGGCGCGGGCCGGGGCCGGGGATGGGGATGGGGCCGGGGATGAGGATGGAGCCGGGGATGGGGATAGGGATGGGGATGGGGTTGGAGCGGGCGCGGCCCCGGCGCGGCCCCAGGGCGCCGGCGAAGGCGGCGGGGGAGCCGGGAGCAGCCCCCGGGAGGCGCGGGGCCGGAGGCCCGGGACCATCGCCGCCGCCCCGCCAGCCCCCGGGCCCCGGCGGCGGGACGGGCACGGCGCTGCCCGGGGCCCGGGACAGCGAGCAGCGCCCCTCCGGCACGGCGGGACCCACCGGCCCGGCAGCCCGGGATGCGGGGACCGCAGCTCAGCCTGCAGCAGAGGAGACAAACAAGGGACGCGGAGAAACTCCCCCCGAAACTCCCTTCATCCTCATTAGCAACCGGGGGATGAACCTCGCCAGCCCCGCAGCCCCGCGCCGTGGGCCCCACTCTGCGGGGAACGCCACAGGGAGACGTGGAAAGCACAAAGAGCTTGCTGGCAAGAGCAGTGGTGGTGCCCACGCTGCCACTGCCACTGCTGGGGCCACCGCCGTGGGTGGCAGGAACCGGACGCTGGGTACGACACCACGAGCAGCTCCTACAGTGGCTGGCACTGGCCAGAATGGGCAGGAGCAGAGGAGAACAGCTCCTGGAGCAGATGGCACTGGCCAGGATGGGCAGGAGCAGAGGAGAGCAGCTCCTACAGTGACTGGCACTGGCCAGGATGGGCTGGAGCAGAGGGAAACAGCTCCTGGAGCGGCTGGGACTGGCCAGGATGAGCAGGAGCGAGGGGGAGCAGCTCCTACAGCTGCTGGGACTGGCCGGGATGGGCAGGAACAAGCAGGGGGCAGCCCGGGAATGCACAGAGTCCTGTCCATGGATGCAACGCTCTCCCCAAGGGACCCCCGAGCTCCCGGCCAGTTTGGACACCCTGTTGTTGTCCCTGATGATAAACAAGAAGAAGCGAAAAGCAGATGGAAAGAAGGAAACTTTAATGTCTACCTCAGCGATCTGATCCCTGTGGATCGAGCCATCGCAGACACCAGGCCGGCCGGGTAAGATCTGCTCCCCCTGCACAAACCCCCGTGCTGAGCCCTGGGAATGGCTCCGTGGCTCTGGGGAGGGATGCTGGGGGCACACCAAGCCCTCCACTTCAGCCGTGCTACCTGTCAGATGGCTTGTGCCTGTCCAGCTCAGAGCAGCCTGTTGTTAAACATAACACTGTGTGACGTTTGCAGGTCATAACCCACTGAGCCCAGCTGCCCAAGGGGACAGAACAGCCAGCACAGGTGATGGGACTCAGGCCTCTCTGTGCCTTGGGATGCTGTACCTGGTGTGTCAGGTGCAGCTCTGATATCCTGGTGGGACAGGTGTAGCTCTGATCACCTGGTGTGTGAGGTGCAGCTCTGATATCCTGGTGGGTCAGGTGCAGCTCTGATATCCTGGTGGGTCAGGTGCTGTTCTGATATCCTGGTGGGTCAGGTGCTGTTCTGATATCCTGGTGGGTCAGGTGCAGCTCTGAGCAGTCAGATTTTGTGGGTTGGTTCCCGTGGGTGTGTGAGGGCAGCAGGAGCCCCGCTGCCCAGACCTCAGGCTGCCATGGCCCTTCCCTGGAGGGAGACACCCCAACCCTCCCGGCCAGGGAGCTGCTGTGGCTCACAGAGCCTGCAGGGGACAGCTGAGTGCTGGCACCATCCAGCAGGCACAGACTGCAGAGGCAGCCCGGGGACTCTGCTCTGTGGGCACGTGCAGGGGGGGACGTGGAGCCTGGCTTTGCAGGAGTGTCACACAGCCACAGCCGTCACCCCGAGACGTGTGACTGACCCCGCAGGTCTCAGCCCTGCGCTCCCAGAGAGCCGCTCCCTGCCGGCAGAGAGCAGGACAAGGCAGGGCAGCGCCTGGCCGACAGAAGGACGGGAGCCTGGCGAGCCCCGTCCTGAGCTGCCGTGCCAGGCGGGCTCGGCAGTGCTGGCTTGATGCTTGCACTTGATGACTTGAAGCTCTTTTTCAACCGAAGCCATTCTGTGGTTGTGACAGCTGCGGGCAGGGAGGGAGGGAGGGAGGGAGGCAGGGAGGGAGGAAGGGAAGGTGCCTGCTCAGGTGAGTGCCACCTTCCTCTCTTGCACTCAGCCCTTCCCACAAACACCTCTCAGCCCCTGGCAGGTGAGGGACCTGCCCCGTGCAGAGACCCCCCATGTCCCTGTTCCCACACTCACAGACCAGGGAGGGGTACGTGGGCTGGGAGTTGTGCCACGATTGTCCCCATGCCACAGCACCGTGCAGACATTGCCCCTGCTGCTGGTGCTGGCTGAGACCTGCACGGCAAGAACGGAGCAGGGAAAGGGGAGAGAGCTGGGGCTGCTCCCTGATGCCACCTCCAGAAGCCACCAGTGCACAGGACCTGAGCCACGGTGGCACAAAGCCAGCCCCGGGGCTGCAGAGCAGGAAGCACCTCCGGCAGTGACGCACCTGCCCAGGGGGACACGCTTTGCTGTCACGGGGAACACCTTGGCCAAACAGGGCGCGTCCCTGGGGATGTCAGCGGCTGCCACGGGGCACCGAGCTGCCCCGGGCTCCCTGGCTCTGCCAGGAGCCTGTGCGGGCTCTGTCCCTGGCCTGCTGGCACAGCCAGGTTGTAAGGGCCAGCTCAAGGCAGGGGCTGGTGGCAGCTCTTGGCAGCCAACAATTATTCTTTGGTCTATTCCTGTCTGTCCCAGTTTAGACTGCAGTTCCTGCTGTGGTTCTGCCCGGAGTACTGCACTAGGCACTGAGATGTAGGCAGTCCGTGCCTCTCCGTGCTCAGGGCTCGCTGCTTTTGGAGCTCCACTGGCACTGGGTCCCTGGTGTGGGGGAGAGCGCCTGAGGAGGAGTGTGGTGGGCAGGAGCCTTGGGAGCACTCCCTGCAGAGCCTGGATCAGGAGTCCTGAGAGAGAAAGGGAAGAGAAGGCTCCAGGGAGACCTTAGAGCCCCTTCCAGTGCATGAGGGCTCCTAGAGAGATGAAGTGGGACTGTGGGTCAGGATCTGGAGTGCCAGGGCAAGGAGCAGTGGTTTCCCACTGCCAGGGGGAAGGGATGGATGGGATATTGGGAGGGAATTCTTCCCTGTGAGGGTGGGGAAGCCCTGGCACAGGGTGCTCTGAGAAGCTGTGGCTGCCCTGTCCCTGAAAGTTTGATGCCAGGCTGAATGGGGTTCTGAGCAACCTGGTTTAGTGGAAGGTGTCCCTCCATGTGAGCCCTTGGAAGGAGATGGGCCTTGAGTTCCCTTCCAGCCCAAACTATTCCAGGATTCTGTGGTGAAGGACAAAGAGGGCATGACCCAGTTCTGCTCACCAGCTGCCCAGCAAGGTGAGGCAGGACTAGATCCAAAATGGACTTTTTGGTGTTTTCTGCCCACTCCCTGAGACAGACAGACACATCTCAAGCATTGTGACACAGAGTAATTCTGGGGTGAATTTCACTTAGCCAGAGCACTTCTGATGAACTGCAAAGTCCTGAAACACCTCTAAATTTCCTTCCAAAGAGGTTCCTGTCAGAACCAAGTGAGTCCATCCCGACGCATGGGGCTGCCCATGAGGGGGGCCCTGGGGCTGTGTGTGAGGTCCCCCCTCCCCTCCCAGCACTGCAGGGCTTTCCCTCCCTATGTTGGGCATTTCCCCCTTCCCTGCACACTTTCCCGGGAGCACCAAGCCTGCAGATTTCCAGGAGTGTGCCTGGCCACCAGCTGTGAGCCCGTGTTGCTGTTGCAGGTGCTCTGAGCAGCAGGTCCACGACGACCTGCCGAGCACCAGCATCATCATGTGCTTTGTGGACGAGGTGTGGTCCACCCTGCTGCGCTCCGTGCACAGCGTGCTCGGCCGCTCGCCCCCGCACCTCGTCGAGGAGATCATCCTGGTGGACGACTTCAGCACCAAGGGTAGGCGAAGCTTCTGTGCCTTTATGAAACCAATATAACTTGAGGGCAAAATGCAATTTGTCCTCTGTAATTCAATTCCAGCTAGGAGAGAATCACATTTTCTGCCCTGCTGTATTGAAGTGCATCCCTGGCCTGCACTGGGGCTGAGGGTGATCAGAGGACAGGGGGGTGCTGGGGCTGGCTGTGAGGGATGAAGGCAGAGGCTGCTGGAGCTCCAGGAGCACCAGGGAGCTGTGTCCTGCCTGGCCCATTCGTCTTTGGGGAGTCCTGGCTCAAGGGCTTGTGTGATCAGGAGATGCTCCCAGCCCTCAGTGTGCAGCTCCCAGGCAGTGTCCTGTGTTCCCAGTGCAGGGGACACGCTCCGGGGTGGCTCAGAGGGAGGGAGCTGCAGTGGGAGCAGTGCTGAGCAGGGATCTGAGCTGCACGGGGCCTTCCATCACCATTTCAGCTGGCACCCAGCCCCTGCAGTGTGATGCCTCCACTCTCTGCTGGGCTCAGCCCTCCAAAATCGAGGAGTGGTGCAATTTCCCCACTGCCGCTTCTCAGGAAAGCGCTGTCTCAGGTGGGCTCAGAGCTCACACGAGGAGCTGTGCCCACAGACCTGAGCGCCTGGCATGCCCGCAGGCGCTTCCAGGGAAAACCTGCTGTGGCTTTTCAGCGTGCCAGCGGCAGCAGTGGCTGAGGTGGTCGCTGTCCCCCCGCAGAGTACCTGAAGGAGCAGCTGGACGCGTACATGTCGCGCTTCCCCAAGGTGAAGATCCTGCGCCTCCGGGAGAGGCACGGGCTGATCCGGGCCAGGCTGGCGGGAGCTGAGGTCGCCAGAGGTAGGACAGGACCCCAGCTCAGCCCTGTGGGGACCCCAGAGGTGCTGGGCACCCCTCCCAGTCCCTCCCAGTGCACCAAGGGTGTCCTTTTGCCACAATCAGCCCCTGCCCACCAGCTGCCCCTGCCAGGCTGTGTCAGCACCAAAATGGCCATTTCTGCCAGGAGCCGCCCTGCCAAGCAGGGAAAAACGCTCTTGGCCGTGGCTGGGCAGGTCTGGGAGCCAAGGAGGGCCGTGGCACAGTCAGCAGCACCCCGAGCCCACAGGGTGCCGGGGGCTGCTGAGCAGGGCAGGGTTGGGATGCCCGAGGCTGACCATGCCCACCTGTGCCGCAGGCGCTGTGCTGACCTTCCTGGACTCGCACGTGGAGTGCAACGTGGGCTGGCTGGAGCCGCTGCTGCAGCGCGTGCGCCTGCGCCGCACCAAGGTGGCCTGCCCCGTCATCGAGGTCATCAGCGACAAGGACATGAGGTGAGGCCGCTCGTCCCCGCCGTGCCCCCGTCCAGGCTGTGTCCTGAGCTCAGCCTGGCACCGCCAGCAGGCCGGCATCCGTGAGTCCAGACCCCCCACCCGCCTGCAGAGCTTCCCACAGGGCAGAGCACTGCTCTGGAATTAACGGTGCCTCTGGATGTGGCCCGTGTTTGTCACACAGCCTTTTTGCCTTTTCACAACTTTTAGTACATGAAGAGGATTCCTGATGAAATTTGTTAAAGTCCTGGTTTAATTACTTACAGATATTCATCTTCTCTCATTAGGGGTGACATTTCAATCAGGAATGTGACTCAGAATTAGTCAGCCCGATCTTTCCTCTGTTTAGTTACATGACCGTGGACAACTTCCAGCGTGGGATTTTTACTTGGCCAATGAATTTTGGATGGAGGCAGATTCCACAAGAGGTCATTGAGAAAAATAAGATCAAGGAAACTGATATAATAAGGTAAAAAAAAAAAAAAAAGAAATGTGAGAGCTTTGCAAACCAGCCTGTTCCTTTGGTAATAATTTAGCAGCAGAGGCTCCTTTGAGGCCAAATGTTGTTATTTTGTGGCCGAGTATTGTTCCTGTGCTTTCCAGGACAGGTGAGGCACAGGCAATCCCCCCATCAGGCATGGGCAAAGTCCAGGAAGCCTTTCTTCCCCTGCATGGCACTGCTGGCATGTCAGCCAGGAGAACACTTCACTGCCTTTCTTGGCTTCACTGCCTTTCTTTCACTGCCTTTCTTTCACTGCCTTTCCCCTCCCTGCCCTGTTACAGCTTTAGGCCACCCAAACACCTCTCTGTGTGGCCTCTCTGTTCCAGGTGCCCCGTCATGGCAGGCGGCCTGTTCTCCATCGATAAGAAGTATTTTTCTGAGTTGGGAATGTACGACCCAGGACTGGATGTCTGGGGAGGGGAAAATATGGAGATTTCATTCAAGGTAGGTCACTGCCACCCCACTGTACCCCTGCCAGCCTGGGTGAGCGATGGGGCTCCGGCAGGGGCTCCCCAGGGACAGCTCCACGTCCCGGGGCACCTGGCCTTCTGCCTCTCTCGCCTTGCACAAGGCAGCACCCCCTCAGCTCGTGTCTATCCGTGACCTCTGTTCCTCAGGTCTGGATGTGCGGAGGAGAGATCGAGATAGTTCCGTGCTCCAGAGTCGGGCACATTTTCAGGAATGACAATCCTTATTCCTTCCCCAAAGACCGTGTGAGGACGGTGGAGAGGAACCTGGCCCGCGTGGCAGAGGTGTGGCTGGACGAGTACAAGGAGCTGTTCTACGGCCATGCCTATCACCTGCTGCACAGCGCCGTGGATGTCGGCGACCTGAGCCAGCAGATCCGGCTGCGGGAGCAGCTCCGCTGCAAAAGCTTCCGCTGGTACCTGGAGAACGTGTACCCGGACCTGGAAGCTCCGCTGGTTAAAGCCAGTGGGCTGGTAGGTCCCCAGGCTGTTCTCGTCAGCCAGGGGCTGGCCGTGCCCGGGCAGTACCCACCCGCCGCCGCTGCAGCTCCCGCGCCCTCGGCAGCTCTGGGCGTGCGATACGGCACGGAGCTCTGCACTCCAGGGCGTTTTGTAAAGAAATAGGTCACGGACAGAAGGGACAGCTTCCCTCTAGGGGCCTGCTTGGGTGCTTGGAGGGCCGAGCTGGGCTCATGGCAGTGCCGGGACAGGCTGTGCCAAGGGCTGGCTGAGAAACCCTCCGTGCTGGAAGTGCTGCTCGAAGGGGCCCGGGGACCCGCCCGCCCCTGCCCCGGCACGGGGTCACGGAGCGGGGTCTGTAGGTGCAGGGTTTATAGGGCGGCTCCGCCGCCAGCAGAGCGCAGCAGCCGCTCGCGTTCCCGGCGCTGCGGGGCCGGGAGGAGGGAGCGGCACCGCTCCGGGCACGGAACCTGCGCCTCGCCGGGGGCAGCGGGCAGACAGCACTCTAAAGTCCTTTTGGATTCAATGCTGCCTGCACAAGCCTCTTGCCTGGCGCAAGCAAGAGGTGAGAGAAACCGGGTCAGGCTCTCCTTCTCCTCCACCACACAGAATTCCAGAATGGTTTAGGTGGAAAGGAACCTTAAAGCTCAGCTTATTCCATCCCCTGCCGCGGGCTGGGACACCTTTCACCAGACCAGGGTGCTCCAAGCCCTGTCCAGCCTGGCCTGGAACACTCTTTTCTGCCTCCCTTCCTTATGTGGACAGTGTTAATGCGAGAGTCCCGTGAGCCCAGCAGGTTCAGTGCAGTGTAACAGCCTCTCCCCCGTCCTGGGAATTTCTGTCTAAATCTGCATTTTGTTGCTGTTTCCCAGCTCGTTAACGTGGCCCTGGCGGGGTGCATCGCTGTGGAAGGCACCAGCCTGGCGTTTGAGGAGTGTGACGTTAACAGCACGGTAAGGACAGGCTGCAGGCCCCCGGGTGTGCCAGTGAGCTGCTGTCCCTCCCCGCGGTGACCTGTCCCCTCCCCGGAGCCAACGCATCCCTTCCCGCCCGGGGACACGGCCAGGCCGTGCCGGGGAGCAGCAAGGGGCAGGAACAGCCTGTAGCCAAGCAACAGTGCCAGAAACAGCAAATTCAGCTGGTCAGGAAAGCTTGATAAAGCTGTGAGCTTGCCCATGGAGACAGAGAAAGATTTAAATAGCAGCCTGTGATCTGTGTGCAGCTGCTGGACATCCAGCTGTACCTCACAGCCCTTCCAGTGCCCCGGCTCTGAGAGGGCCAGAGAACGACCCAGAGTGCCAGGACACAGGGAATGGCTCCCAGTGCCAGGGGGCAGGGATGGATGGGATATTGGGAAGTGGGAATTCCTGGCTGGGGGACGGGGCAGGCCCTGGCACAGGTGCCCAGAGCAGCTGTGGCCAGCCCTGCCATGGGGCCGTGTCTCTTGCTGCTGTCTCCCCACAGCACCAGAAGTTCAACTACACCTGGCTGAGGCTGATCCAGCACGGAGAGCTGTGCGTGGCCCCGGCTGGCGTCGTGGGAGCCGTGGGCCTGCGCCGCTGCCAGGGCAGGAGCCGCAGCCTGGCCTGGCTCCACAGGTCGCTGGCCACCGTCCAGCCGGGGCTGGTGAGTGATGCTCGGGGGGCAGGAGGGGTCAGGATGGCCCCTGCCAGCCCAGCGTGGGTCAGGAGAGCACTGACGGGGGCACAGCCTGGCACGGGGACACCCCACCCTCTGCTGCCAGCTTTGCCAAGGCCACCCGTCCCCTAGAGAGGTGCTGGCCTCGTGCCCCTCTGCCAGGGGTTGTGTCCGTCCCAGTGCCCAGCATCCCGACACGGCTGCCAGGCTGGGCACACGCAGGCACTGCCACAGCCACAGCAGCAGCTACAAGACAGCCCAAAGAGCCTGCTTTGACACAGAAACAGTCAATAGCACTTAGAGGGAGATGAGCCAGCATCGATTGGCTCTCGGCTCACAGGGGTTTTTAAAGGCAGCACTGATGGAAAGGAGAAGAATGGATACTTACACTAATTGCCTGTGCTGCACAAAGAGTCATGGCTGTACCTCTGTCAGCCTGGTGCAAGTAGTTCTCCAAAATGCTCTGAATGGCATAGTCTATTGTTGAGAAAAAAACACTCTTCACTTAAGAAAGAAAAAATGTAGCATTCAATATACAGACAATTTCCTGTTGCCCTTTGGTTTTTTCAGCCTAAAGTGTTGAATGCCAGAATGCCACAGGCTCACATTGGGTGTTTAGGGAAAAATACAGGAAAAATTTTATCCACTTAGTGAAAATTGTGAAATTGTCATTTCACTTTGTGAAAAATATGCAGAAATGCCCAGGGAGCTGTTACAGGGCACGGGCAGGTCTTGTCTCCTGTTGCAGCCTGATTTCTCAGCTGAGGCTGAGATGGATTTGGTGGTGCTCTTTTACTGGTGCCAGCAACAGGAGTCTGAGGAGAGCTCAGTGGCTGCTGCCTGAAGGGGTTCCAGTGCTTTGCCCTCTCCTGACATCAGGCATTGTGTTTCCAAGGGTGTGAAGTGCAGTTCCTGTGTGTACAAAGGTGCAGCTTCTGCCCAGGCCCCCCTGCACACATCACACCAGGAGTGTTTCACCTCCGTGTTACCGAGCTGCTCCTGAGCACCACTGCAGTGCCAGCAGTGGCACAGGAATGGCCCTTGCCTGTGGCAGCACCTGCAGCTTCTCCTGGCTGGCCACAGGGCTTGGAGGGGTTAATCCAAGCAGATGTGAAAAGCAAAAGGGTGGAGGTCACTCAGACTCTTTGTTCTTCTCCTGCCCCAGCACTTGGGCTCCAGGGCTGAGTCACCCCACATCCTGCAGTGCCAGGTTCATCAGCCACAAGCTAAACACAGAATCAGTCTCCTGCTGCACATTCCCTGTGGAGCAGAGCCCATCCGAGGGACTCCCTCCACATGGCAATTGCCCCACAGACAGCGAGAGAGCTCATCTCTCTGTTCCCAGCAAAGGAAAGGCCAGGGCAGGACTGGACTGCTCTGGTGTGACTGGGCAGCTGTGTGTGATCCTGGCTCAGCAGCAGCTGCAGGCTTGGATCCCAAGCCAAAGTCCCTGTAAGTCAGCAGAGATATCTCAGGTGTTAGGGATGAGCAAAAAAGGGCACACTGTAAGGAGCTGGGCTTTCTCAGAGGGAAAATAGAGCTGCTGCTGCTGCTGCTGCTGCTGCAGGAGCCCCAAATCCCAGCCCCCCAAAGCCCAGCCCCCCAAAGCCCAGCCCCCCAAATCCCAGCCCCCCAAAGCCCAGCCCCCCAAATCCCAGCCCCCCAAGCCCAGCCCCCCAGGCCCAGCCCCCTGAGCCCCTCTCTGTCCTGCAGACCCACCACCTGGTCTCGGAGCACCGGCAGCTCCCGCAGCCGGCGTGCCTGGAGGTGGATCCCTCGTACAGAGCGCTGCGGGTGAAGGGCTGTGACCCCAGGAACCCCCACCAGAAGTGGCAGTTCAGCAGGTACCACGCCAGGCCCAGCCCCCCAGGCCCAGCCCCCTGAGCCCCTCTCTGTCCTGCAGACCCACCACCTGGTCTCGGAGCACCGGCAGCTCCCGCAGCCGGCGTGCCTGGAGGTGGATCCCTCGTACAGAGCGCTGCGGGTGAAGGGCTGTGACCCCAGGAACCCCCACCAGAAGTGGCAGTTCAGCAGGTACCACGCGGACTGAGGGCAGCCCGCTGCACCACGACTGCCACGGTGTCACCGCAGGCTCGGGGGGACATCGGCGTGGCTGACCAAGGGGGAACTGGAATTGTGATGTGATACCTGCACGTGGAGGGATCCAGACACCCAGAGCAGCACGTCTGCAGAGCCTGAACACAGCAGCACCATTTTCCCTCTCTGCAGGAGACTTTGGGATAAACTCGTTTTCTGTATTATTAAATGGAAATATTTTTTTGAAGTCCCCATCCTACTGTAAGCAAACATCGCTCAGCTCCCCCCAGCAGCAGCATAACCTACAGAAATACTTCCAGGGCCCTGTAAGTCTGTAAGCAGCAGCTTGGGCTGCTCATTCCTCCACAGAAACTGGAAGTTTGTTGATCAATGCATCAAAAAAATCCAGCACCGTGTCCGCAGGGATCTGGCTGCAGGATCCCTCCCTGTGGGGTGTGCTGTGTGAGGTGAGGATCAGGGTTCTCAGGAACCACTTGCACATCAATGGAGCCCACAATTCATAGTGGGAGGTGGGTGGGGGTCAGTCCCACCCAGGGCTGCTGGAGAGGCCTGGAGCAGCCCTTCCCTGTGCTGGGGACAGAGGGACACAAGTGCCTTGCTTTGTTTGCTGGGGAGAGGAGCTGCCGGAGCAGGGAACCAGGGCTTTGTCCTGCTTCACTCCAGGGCCAGCCTGGAAGCTCCTCCTCCCAGGGCAGCCAGGTTGTCCCACCCTGGGGCTGCCAGGGCCCCAGCCCTGTCCCCCAGCCCCTGTGACTTTCTGGGGGCTCTCCAGGAGCCCTGCTGCTCCCCCAGCCCAGGCTGCACGGCACAGCCAGGCTCTGCACACCAAACCCCCTCCGGAGTCACTGCCACGAGCAAGTGTTGGCTGTACTGTGAAGTTCTTCGTCTCCAAGATCCAGCACCAGTCAGCGATGGGATGGATTTGATGGGAGAATAAATTCTGTGTGCCGAGGTTGTAGATCCAGAGTAAACACCAGGCAGGGTTTCCACCCCTGCTCCCGCTGGGAATTCCTGCTGGGGGATGCTGCTCCCGGGGCTGCAGTGGGAGGCAGTGCTATCCCCCGGCCCGCTGTGCTGAGCTGAGGGGCTGCTCCAGCCAGCCCTCGGGTACCCGGGCTGAGCGAGGCACCGTGCTCGGGTGGGCACGGCCGAGCCCCCAGCCCTGCCCCACAGCCCTCCCTCTCCCCTGGGTGTGCACAGGGCCCCGGCACCACACTGCCTCTGACGTGGTGGATCAGCGCTGACAGCATCTGACAGGCTCAGTCTGCCAAAATATTGACTGGCCCAACAGATTTTCCCAGTTGACTCCTATTCCAACTGTCTTCCTGATTTTCTCTCCCTCCTTCAGCGCAGCTAGCCCGCAGTCACCATCAGAAAAATGACACAGACGTTGTTTGGGCAGTCAGCTCGTATCAGGAGCATGAATTTCATCAAATTCTGTTTGCTGACATTCAATCACTTGTCACCGAGCAGGCAGCAGGCAGTCATATGTCACGGTCACATCCCATCGCCAGCCCTGTCACTCGCACGCCGCTGCCCCGCTCGTGTAAATGCTCACTTCCCTGCTGGATCTTTGCTCAGAGACTGCAGGGTGCCCGGGGGCTGCTGGCAGTGAGCAGCGGCCCTGCTGTTGCTCAGTACTGAGAGCATTCCGACGGCACCAGTCAGCCCAGTGTTCCAGAAACGAGAGCATTTTCCGGCAGGCGCGGCGGCTCCGGGAGCAGCGGAGGCACCAGGGGGGGAACCGTGTGTGGGGTGGGGACAGCAGGCCCTGCTGTCCCCGGTGTTAAAAATAAATAAATAAATAAATAAATAAATGAGAATGGATGGAGCTGCTTGCTCTGAGCACGGTGTGTTACATCGGACCAGCCTGGGGCTCCTCCCGACTTACTGCCGGCCTGGGCCGTGAAGCATCGCCCAGGAGGAGCCTTCAAAGCCCCGTTCCCGTGGTGTCTGCGGGCTCCTCGCTGGCTGCAGGGAGCTGAGCTGGCGCTGCAGCCACAGCTGCTGCAGGTGTCGTGATTGTCACCCACACACCCCACGAGGCTCTGCCTCCCGCTGCCCTGCCGTCAGCCCGCACCCGGCACGGCACAAACGGAGAAAAAGGATTTTTGGGCTGTGGCTGCATGGCCTGGCCAGCACCTGCCTCAAAGTGCCTCTGCCCCAAGGGACAGTGTCCGGATCTGTGCGTGTCCCCTGCCCACGGGCACGGCCCGAGCTCCAGCGCCGCTCCCTGCCCTTCCCTGCCTGCGAGCCCCCGGGCCGGGCCGGCTGGGCAGGGCTCTCCGGGCCCCGAGCGTCCCAGCGCTCTCATTTTTTCACTTTTTTTAACCCAGGAAAGCAGGAGAGGGCGCTGCGGCCCTCGGCTGAGCAAGCGCTGCTCTGCACGGAAGGCAAAAAGCCAGCCCGAGTTTCTAAAAGCCAGCCCGAGGTTCCAAAAGCCAGCCCAAGGTTCTAAAAGCCAGCCCGAGTTTCCAAAAGCCAGCCCGAGTTTCTAAAAGCCAGCCCAAGGTTCCAAAAGCCAGCCCGAGTTTCTAAAAGCCTGCCCAAGGTTCCAAAAGCCAGCCTGAGTTTCTAAAAGCCAGCCCAAGGTTCCAAAAGCCTGCCCAAGTTTTTAAAAGGCAGCCCAAGGTTCCAAAAGCCTGCCCGAGTTTCCAAAAGCCAGCCCGAGGTTCCAAAAGCCAGCCCGAGGTTCCAAAAGCCTGCCCGAGTTTCTAAAAGCCAGCCCGAGGTTCCAAAAGCCAGCCCGAGGTTCCAAAAGCCAGCCCAAGTTTCCAAAAGCCAGCCCGAGTTTCTAAAAGCCAGCCCGAGGTTCCAAAAGCCTCGGGGAGCCTTTCCACCGAAAGCTCTGGGAGCGGGCACAGGCGCTGATGGAATCGGAGCGGTTTGGGTTGGGAGGACCTCAAAGCCCACCTCGTTCCACCCTGCCGTGGCAGGGACACCTCCCCGGTCCCGGGCTGCTCCAGCCCTGCCCAGCGTGGCCCTGGCTGGGAGCACCCAGCCACGTCTCCAAGGGCCTTGTCACCCCCCGAGCAGCTGCCAGCGGGAACAGACCCCCTGTATAAGTTGGGACAAGCAAAGCTCAGAACTTCCCCAGGCCAAGGAGCAAACAAACAAGTGTGAATGGCACAATGAGGGCTATGTCTGCTGGCACAATGCAGAATTGCTCCTCCTCCTCCTCCTCCTCCTCCGCCTCCGCCTCCTCGGCCGCGTTCGGTCTGGGCTCGGCGCTGCCCGGCGGGGTCTCCGCCACCTCCGTGCCCGTCCCCGCTGTGCCACCCGGCCCTGCGCGACACGGGGACACGGGGACACGGCGGCTGCGGGCCCGCCACCGCCAGCTCCTGCCCCCGAACGGACACCCGGGCGGCCTGGGGACAGCTCCCAAAGTCACCCCTTGTCCCTTCTAGTGCCTCCCTCCGTACTGCCACCGAGGGGAGGGAAGGGAAGGGAAGGGAAGGGAAGGGAAGGGAAGGGAAGGGAAGGGAAGGGAAGGGAAGGGAAGGGAAGGGAAGGGAGCCATTCCGCATGCAGTGCCCAGCTGTGCCCCAGTGGGACGTGTCCCTCCCTCGGCAGTGGCCACCCCTGCTGCCATGGCCCTCTCCCATTTGCCCTGTTTGGCACGTCTCTGCGGTTAATGATGCTTTAGTGTCGAAACAAATGGTCTATTCAAGGTTTTGCCTGTGGGGTCCGGAGTATTAATTAGACTAAATTGGTTGGGTACTAAAAAGCTGCCTGCAATTTGGAGATAAAGCGCCGTGGCTGCAGGGCGGGTGCAGGGGGCCCATGAGAGATCCTTTAATAGGTTTTATTGTGTGCTCCTAAAGCAGCACAGCTGGAATATGGATGTCAGCTCTAAGTGGGAAAGCCTCCACCACTATTCAGCTCCTCACAGCCTAGGCAGTTGCTATGAAATATTAATTTGGCCATGACAAATGTTCGGATATTTTTCCTTTTGTTAATGGAAGAAGGTTTTGCTTGCAGGGCACAGCCCATGGCTCATTTAGAGCCCACTTCCAAGCTCAGGGCAGAGCACCACCAGCAGCTCCTGGTGCAGCCACCCTTGAACCACCCCTGCCAAAGCCAACGAGTCAGGAGGAGTCTGGAGATGAGGAAAGGAATAATGCCTAGAGCCCCCCTTGGAGAGACACGGCTGTTCTCCTCCAGTAACACACCATAAAATACTCCTCCTTTTGGAGACGTGGCTGCAGTTTGCATAGTGAAATAAATATGTTCATTTCTGTATATACTCAGTACATTTTTAGCTCATGACCAGGGTAGTGACCCCCTGCAGCCCCGCTCACCACAGGAGGTGCCTGAGGCTCCAGCCCTGGCTCCTGCTCATTTCCACCATTTTCACCCAGAAATGAGCAGAGCAAGACCCAGGAACAGCTGTTTAGGAGGGCAATTTTGTGTGGGTTCCTGGGCATTGGGGGATTCAACACTTGGTGAGTCAGGCAGGAAAAGGATTTGGGGTTTGTGACCACCGGCAGCCTCACAAGGTTCTCCTCTGAGCTTGGAGCAGAAGACAGAGACTCTCCCAGCCCCATGAGCTGTTGGGGACCTCCTGCCTGAAGACCCCACAATGCTTGGATGCCCCATGGCCAGTGAGATCTGTGAAACTCTGGCAGGAGGACATCAGCTGTGGTTTCTAAGGTGCAGCAACTCACAGGTGAGAAATGAGTCACTGCTCTCTGGAATAGAAGGGTCTGACCCAATTAAAAAAAATAATAACCACCTGCATCCAATTGTCTCTTTGCTACACATCAGTGAAACCCCACATCATATGTCATTTTGCATTACCTGCCTCTGATCCCTGGCCATTGGTCCCTGCATCCTGGATATCCGCTGGTCCCTGCTGTGGTGTGCCAGCGTTCTCCTCTCGCTTTTCTTTGGGAAACACAAAGCACAAGACATGGGCTGATGGAGCAATTAGTGGTGACAATCAGGTTTTAATGGCTGCAGATCGGCAGGTTTTCAGAGCAGATTTAGAATTGCTCATTTCTTTAGTTATGATCTTTTCATTGCATTCTCAAATGTGTCCCAGATTCTGAAATACCGTTACAGCTACCACGGATTAGGAATTTTCCCTAACACACAGCACATCCCGTTATTCATCAGGCTATAGATGAAGCAGAACTTTCCTCTCCCAACGCCTAGAGACAGGCAGCCCCGTACGATACCTTGGCATCGCTTCTCTCCAGCAAAATTCTCAGGAGCGATGTCCTCTGGCAATGAATTTCTGTTTTCCTCCAGATTTTCCTTTGCAGGTAGAGTGTCAGGGCTCATTTCCGCGTTCGCATACGGGACTGTCCCAAGAGATTTTGCAATTTCTTCGAGGCCACCGATGACCTGGAGTGGGCCGTCCTCCGGGGGAAGGCTCCCGTTGCACGCCGGCATGGTGGCAGCTGCGGGCACTTCTTCTGTCATGCTGAGGGCCGTGCCGGGCCGGGCCGTGCCGCGCCGGGCCCCGCTCCTGCCCCGGGGTGGGGAGCTGCTCCTCGCCCCTTGGCCCCGGGGTCCGCTCCCCTGCGCGAGTGGCCCTGGCGCGTCTCCTGTGCCCAGCTCGCGGCCGCACCATCCGCTGTGCCCGGGGCTTGCCAGCCCAGTCAGCGCCTCCCTTGTCGCCGAGGCTCTGCCCGTTGCATAATTAAACGCACCATTATAATTTACATAAACAAACAATCTGAAGCAAGGAAGCTTTTGTGCTGGCCCGGAGAGCTGGGCTGCGGGCATGTCAGCCCCGCGGGAATAAACAGGAGTTTGTGCTCTGGGCACAATGGCTCTTTGTGTCCCCGCTGGCCACAGGGACAGCCATTGTTCTGACCCCTAATCCCCGCAGGGTGACCACCTTCTCCAGCGCCCGCCACCTAACCCGCTTAACATTCCCCATCGGGTTTGCGCCGGGAACCGCGCCAGGGATGGAGATCGCCAGGGATGGAGATCGCCAGGGATGGAGATCGCCAGGGATGGAGCTCACCATGGATGGAGCTTGCCATAGATGGAGCTCGCCACGGATGGAGCTTGCCATGGATGGAGGATGGAGCTCACCATGGACGGAACTCACCGTGGATGGAGCTCACCATGGATGGAGTTCGCCATGGATGAAGCTCGCCATGGATGGAGCTTGCCGTAGATGGAGCTCACCGTGGATGTAGCTCGCCAGGGACGGAGCTCGCCAGGGATGGAGCTTGCCGTAGATGGAGCTCACCGTGGATGGGACGGAGCTCGCCAGGAGCTCGCCAGGGATGGAGCTCACCATGGATGGAGCTCGCCATGGATGGAGCTTGCCGTAGATGGAGCTCGCCATAGATGGAGCTTGCCATGGATGGAGGATGGAGCTCACCATGGATGGAGCTCGCCATGGATGGAGCTCGCCAGGGATGGAGCTTGCCATGGATGGAGCTCACCGTGGATGTAGCTCGCCAGGGACGGAGCTCGCCAGGGATGGAGCTCACCATGGATGGAGCTCGCCAGGGATGGAGCTCACCAGGGATGGAGCTTGCCATGGATGGAGCTCACCATGGATGGAACTTGCCGTAGATGGAGCTCACCGTAAATGGAGCTCGCCAGGAATGGAGCTCACCAGGGATGGAACTTGCCAGGAATGGACCTCACCAGGGATGGAGCTCACTGTGGATGAACCTCGCCATGCCCTGGGGCACAGTGGGAGCACTTTGCCCTCTGGAGAGCAGCCCCAGCAGTGGGACAGGCACAGGCCCTGCATACAGCACAGTGTCACGCTGTCCACCTGCGCCCAGCCACGCACCCTGGACAGCCAGCACTCCTCAGAGGGGCCATGGCTGCCCCTGGGGCCCTGGAAGTGTGCCAGACAAGGTTGGGCAGGGCTTGGAGCACCCTGGGGTAGCGGAAGATGTCCCTGCCATGGCAGGGGGTGGAACAGGGAGAGCTTTAAGGTCCCTCCCATCCCAAGACATTCCATGATTCTCTCAGTAACTCTCAGTCACACTGAAAGCTGGCAGGATCGAGAGGGAGCATTTTGCAGAGGGAAGCTGGAGAATCACCGGAGCAGCCCTGGGGCATTTCTGACCGCAGCTGAACTCGTCTCAACCCTGGTGCCCAAAGCCAGATTTACATAACAGTGTAATCTCCTGCTGTGAATGGCATTCTGTGTTTGTACAATACAGCATTTCTGGTATCTTTGGGCTTTAGGGTTTGGAAATCCTCTTGTCAAGTTCAGCCCCTGATTAGAAATGAACCCAAACACCTTCCACTGCTTCTATTCATCTTTTGAGTTTGTGTCTTTAAATCAACAAGTTTTCATTATTGTTTTAAAATTAATTTGGTGTGATTGGTTTATAAAATCCATCCTTTGCTGGAAAATGTTGTCCAAGAAAAGTGAACGATAAAGTTTGGACATGAGCTGACAATGAGCAGAGGTTGGTGCCCTCAGGAGGAAAGGCTGAGCACCCAGCAAGGTCTGATGACTGGAGAGGAGAAGGCTCCTTCCCATTATCACAGAATCACAGAACCGTTTGGGCTGCAGGATTGCAGAAGGAAAAGGCAACTGTGTGTTCTTCCCACCACAGGCAGCTGCTTGTACACAGCTGGGCAAAACCACCTCTCAAGGGCAGGGAACAATTCCTTCTGCACAAACCCCACGGGGTGGATTTCTCCTCTTCAAGCTTTTAAAAATTAAAAAAAATAAAAATTGGTCCAATCTGGCGTGGCACAGCCACAGCTGGATGTGACACCACTAACAGCTGGTCCATGCCAGGAGCACCGGGCCTCACTCCTGGCTCTGAGTGTGGATAAATGTGAGTCCCCTTTGCCTCGAGGCGCTGGCAGGCCGGGCTCAGCTGCCCTGGATAACCACTGTGCCACCTTCTGCTCTGAGCCTGGAGCTGCGTGTGACCAGCTGGGGGAACAGGGCCCCCAGCGCGGGGAGAGGAAGGGCAGGGTGGGGCTGCAGCCAGCAGCGCAGCAGAGCAGCAGGAGGGAGGCAGCAGCACCATCCCTGAGTGCAGGGCAGGATGGAGCCCAAGAGGCAGGACCATCCCTGACTGTGGGGCAGGATGAAATTCAGGAGGCAGCAGCACCATCCCTGAGTGCAGGGCAGGATGGAGCCCAAAAGGCAGCAGCACCACCCCTGAGTACGGGGCAGGATGGAACCCAAGAGGCAGGACTATCCCTGAGTGCGGGGCAGGATGGAGCCCAAGAGGCAGCAGCACCATCCCTGAGTGTGGGGCAGGATGGAGCCCAAGAGGCAGCAGCACCATCCCTGAGTGTGGGGCAGGATGGAACTCCAAAGGCAGCAGGACCATCCCTGAGTGTGGGGCAGGATGGAACCCAGGAGTCAGGACCTGGTGGGAGGGTCTGGGCAGTGGACAGCACTCAGCTGAGCAGTTAAGTCCCCAGAGAAGGTCAGGCTCTGTAGCATTCATCACATTAATGCAAATGTTCAGTTTAAAATCCAGTTGCATTCATGGGGAACAGCTGCACTCTCCTCTGCAGTAAACTTGTGTTGTCCCCTCAGCCCCCGGGGATAAGCAGAGGTTATCAGGTTCCATTGGCTGTTGGGAACTCTCCAGTCCCTCCAACACCCCTGTGATCAGTGAGAACTCTGCTGCTGGAGGTCCAGAGCCCACGGAGTCCAGCCCCAGCCCCTGGTGTCACTGTCCCATGCTGCCTGTACACCCACCCTCCTCCTGCCCCTCACCCAGGAGGCAGAGCAGGATCCACCCAAAGTGCTCTCTGCAAGGAGAAATGCCTTTTTTAAAAGCTGTTGCAGTTGCTTTTCTTCCTGAGCACTTTGTCTGGCCTGTGAGCTCCCTCCTCCCCCCCAGGCTGGGGCACAGCAGGGCTCGGTGCTTGTCACCCACATCCTGTTTGTGACCGTGGCTGAGAACGTGTCACGCCGTCATCCTGCGGCACCCAGAGCGTGCTCTCACCCTGCTGGGAGGGCAACACTGCTTCAGGCTGAGCTCCTGGGCTGCCAGGCTCCTCCAGCCTTTCCACACTCACAGCAAGTGCCTGGATCCCAAACTGTGGCAAGTTAACCTTTCATGCCTAAAGGAATCACACCTTTGGAGTGTGGGGCTGCAATACTTCAGGGTCCCTTTCTCAGTGCTGGGGCTGTCCATTCCCTTCAGGCACTGCAATGACTCTCACCAGATGTTCTGGTTTTTCTGCCCCTGGTTGATGTTGGACACCCCTGCATCTGCCTTTAACCGAACATTTTGGCCAAATAGAACCAATCTCTAATTTATTTTTTCTCCTTTCAGAGGATGCTACTGGCAATGAAAAGTAGAACTCCTCTATTGTGAGACAGCAAATCATGGGTGCAGCAGCGCAGACAGGACATCACCCATGTACACACCATGGCAGCTCCTCCCCTGGCTGTCCCACAGCCCCCCGGCATCCCTCCATCTCCCCTGACTGTTCCCCATCTCCCCTGGCTGTCCCACAGCCCCCTGACTGTCCCCATCTCCCCTGGCTGTCCCCATCTCCCCTGGCTGTCCCCCAGCCCCCTGAGTGCCCTTTATCTTTCCCAGAGCTGTGCCATATTTCCAGCTATTTAATCCTTCCCACAGAAATTGCAGAGGCCAGGACTGACTCTTCTGTCTCAGCTGTGTTCATGAATCAGAGAGGTTTTGGGAGCAGGTTGTTTTTGTTTGGAGCTCCTCTGGCAGGGAAGCTGTTGGATTCAGCCTGCTGTCTCTGAGAAGCCCAGAAAACCCCAGCACTGCGGTACCTGAGGGTACAACTGCACAGGCTGCCCGGGCAACGGGCAGTGAGTCACACAAGGTCCTTGAATTATTTTTAAAATGCTTCCAGTTGTATTTGAAAAACATCTTTAGGCTGCTCAGGCTGAACAGCCTTTCCTATTACTGAGGGGGAGCGAAAAAACTCTCTTTTTCTTCACATCTGTGCCCGTGGTTATTAAACTCCACTTTTTTCACACGTGCTCTCAGTGATCCTTACTGCCTGAAGCCTCGGCTTCTGGGGAAATAAATGTGAGCAGGTGTGGCGTGCTGAGAGCAGCGGGACCAAGGGCAGCTCCTCAGCCCCGTGCACTGCTGGGCAGGGGGGTCCCTGGGTGTCACCACCCTGCCAGCGCAGAGCAGAGCAGAGCAGAGCAGAGCAGTGCTGCTCCTCCCTGCAGGACAGCCCTCTGCCTTTCTTCCCTCTTGCCCTAGGGCGGTCAGCTCTGCAGGACACACAGAGCTGCTCCGGGCAGGGTCACAGACACCCCTCACGGCTCTGCAGAGGAGCCTGGGGACACGTGTGTGCTCAGGAGGGTCCTTGCCCCTCCACATGCCCTGGAATGGGACACTTGGCAAGACACGGGATATCAGCACCTGGCAGAGGCTGCAGCTGGTCAGACCAAACCAGCACTGGGTCATCACACCGTTTGTACAACGGCTGCAAGCCTGGCAGGACAGCTTCATTCCAGAACGCCCTGCCAG